GCCGATATAACATCTGATAATACACTTCTTCATATTCCCACTCTATCACCTTCATATTCCCACTCAAAAACTCAAAATACCATGTGCAGCTCCCGCTCTGATATAAAACACTCACAAAAACCCAGAGAACATTGGAATAATCAAGTCTAGAACCCCCCAGATGACAAAATCCAATTTCAGACCTACTTTGATAATACAACTTTTTCATATCACCACTCTAGAACCTGCATGTCTGCGGTCAAAGACTCAAAATACCATCTTTGGGTGCCACTCTAACATAAAACACTCACAAAAGCATGGAAGGACTGGACATATGACGTCAAAATTTTAGTCATGAATTCTCTTATTATAGGCACACATTCTCTCACTATTCAACTTGACCGTAGCTCACCTTCTTCACCTCCATATCTACACTTGAAGATTGCATATCTGGCTCCCGCAACACACAAACTCTACTGAATCATTTTAATATATATTTACTCCAGTCTGTTAAGACTCTCAGTATATTTGGTGAGCGATCCAATGGCTACAATAATATTCTTTGAATTTTTAAAATGGTACAAAGCTTTGATGTCCTTCACCCAATCAAGCTTTTGGTTATCGAGATTTTGGTTTCCAAGGTCAATTATAAATTTCCGCAAAGCACATCAGTACCAAAAGCTCTGACAGCCAGACCTTAGAAGTGAATGGATATTCAAGAAGTGTATCAACTTCTGAATTGCAAAAAGGTTTGAAAGCCGTTCCGCCAAGATGATTACATAACTCAAGAATGGCCATGTCAAAATGAAATAATTGATTTGGGTGGAACCCTTCCCAATCAGGAAGGAACAGGTCTAGTAGTATCGAGTGAAAACTAGAACGGTCACTTTTTTAATTGAAATGTAATCAATCATCTCTTGTAAGTAATGGGCTGATGGTCTATCCCACATTTGAAACATACCATCAACCCCAAAAATCCAGAAACACCACCAAATGGGAACATCTGGCCGTTCCATAGCATGTCCCCTAGTAAGCCGAATTCCCAAGTCAAAGGCACCGCAGACCCAAGCAACTCGCGAAAAAGCTGAACGAGATGAAGCTCAAAAAAGATGGGGTATGCGAAAGTGTGAAGAAATCAGCCAAGCTCTTGAAGGCGCACCTCCGAACCCTCTCAATAACAACCTAGAACATCTGCTGTCGGATGATGATGATCACAATGTCATCTATCCATTACAAAACGAAGAACACTTACTCAACGAAGAGCCAATCGATGAAGTTTCCTCCGATTCCAAAGGAGAGGAAAAAGCTTATGTCAAGTTAGTCTCAGGAAACGACTACAAGGATCGTCGCTTACAGCAAGATGCACATTGGAGGAAAATAATGCAAAAGATTTTCATTGCATTCATGAAGTGCTCCGAGCGTACATCAACCTGGGGCAATGACGAGATGTGGGATCACGACTTCAACCAAGAGGAAGCTTGCTCATGTGAACAACGTCATAAACGTTTTCGTGCTGTAGACACTGTAGACTTGATTTGTGAGTGGTCATTTTTTTTCATAGTCTTCTTTTGACGCCGATCTAATCTTCAAGTTACTAGATCGTAGAAAGATCACTTTTGAATTCTGTAGCTGTACGCCTGATCAAGTTCGCCTCATCAACCATGGATATTTAGGAGGATCCCCAGTGAATCCTGAGACTGCTTTTTCTTTGAGGCTGCTTCGTTTTTATCACTTATCCTGGGAATATTGTCATTCAAATATCCAACCCTTTTCTTTGATGATAGATAAATATCTCGATGCTAATAATCCTTTGATCGAAGTGTCTGGAACTCACGAGGTATGATTTCATTTCATTTCGAATTTTGATCAAACTTGAAGTGACCAGCTCGAATCTGTTGTCAGCCTCGACTATGGCGAACACCCCTCTCAGCCGCAGTCTACTGTTATCGCCAGATATTAAAAATGATTGAGGATCTGGAGACTCGTAGCCTGAATCTCACTCCGTTAGAGAAGCTGGCATGTAACTGTCCTAGGTGTTTTGGACCCACTGGGTCACAAGGAATCCGGAAAGGCCCTCAATACATCGTCTGTGTTGATGGCAACTTTCAACAGCGGCGTCATGAGAAAGCAAGTAAAGAGTATGACGAACTGCAGATATCAAACCCCTCGATGTTCATGCCTGCGGAAGATGTCTCGAAATGGGAGCCTGCTACAGATGCAGAACAGGCTGCAGTGGCTTTGGTAAGTACGAGTCTTTTGTTCATGTAGTCATAAGCTGACCTTTCATTAACAGGATCCTTGTACAGCCCAACACACGGCTGCAGCAGACCGTCGGGATGCATCGAGTTGGCAAGGGTGCGAAGAGACCGGCCTGATTGGTTTAGCATGTCGACATGATCACATGCTTAAGCTAGTCAATATTGTTCGTAGTGGGGAGAAGTGCGTATTTCTCATCATTAAGCACTTGTATGCGGAATACTGAACATCACATTTTGAATTTTTCAGAGCATACTTTGTCCATGCTTTGATTGGACTTTTGTTTGATTCCATTCTAGAAGCCCATACAGACACCAACAAAGCCGATGTTTGGATCTTGTACGATATCGGATGTACAATGGAGAAAGGTGTGGTCAAAGTGAGTCATTTGATGATATGGTCATAATAAACACTGATGGGGTTTCATTTCATAGCACAATCTCTTTGAAAATGAACGTTTACAAGGCCGAATCAAGTTTGGTACAAGTGCGTTCCACGCCTACGTCCATCAGTGGAGCTGCCAACTGCAGTATAATCCGCGCCTCAACATTGGTTGGGGCTTCTCTGACGGAGAAGGATTAGAACGTAACTGGTTTGGCATATCACCTCTCATTTCTGCACTTCGATGGGCTGGTAAACAGACACGCCTGGACGCTATACATTTAAAAGTTTTACATGGAAACTCAATCAAGCTACTCAAAGCTGGTAGGTGATTATCTTCTCCTGCTTATGTCTGAAAGCGCCCCTAATTACTGACCGCTTGGTTTTGAAGCCAAGTCAGCTTCTAATAAGCTCAGAATCGCTGAAAAAAGATTGAATGACGCTCGTGCTCAGCTTGATAATCTAAAGTCCACTTTGGGGCTGACTGTGGAATATTTTGCTGCGCAATGGGAACGACAAAAGTTCTGCCAGTTGGAGATCATCTCCGACACCACTAAGAAACTTAACGACTGGGTGATTTGATTGATCTAGAGGAACGGTTCACATCTGCTCAGTCAGTTTGATCAAACATGTTAATTCTGTGAATTTTTCTTTGACTAATTCATTGATTTTTTCTGGTAATAGCGGGGAGCTTGCTAAGCTTCGACGGCAGCGGCGAAGGGATATGTCTGAGGAAGATCTTGATGCCATGAGAGATCTCCCTTCAACACTTGGGGCTCTAGAAGAATCTATTACAGAGATCGCAACAGAGATGGGTGGTGATGCATTTCGCGACATGCCTGAATTAAAAGGTCTGTATTACAATGTTTATGTTGATCTTATACATTTCAATATAGCCTGATATCTGACTACCCTTCTTGTTAGATCCATGCGCTAAAATCCTGTTACGAGTTCGATTGGCGAAAGATAAAATGTATGAAGCAAAAGTGGGGAAGTTAGAGCGGCAGAAAAAGTGGGACAAGCCCGGAATTGGTAAGTTGCTAGACTTGATTGATTGACTTCTTGTGTTAATGGTGTTCGGACTTACAGGTACTTCAGAGCAACCCCGATATAAGAGCATCATGGAGAAGCGAGACAAGGCTTTGCTCCAAAAGTTTAATACATTCAAGTCCAATGTCGAAAATTATCGCCTTTCGTACCCTGATCGGCCGGGTATACAATTACCTACATTTGACGAGATTAAGAAACTGGATATAAATGATCCATTTTGGAACATCGGAAACCTGACACATCCCGAAGAGCCTTGGGCGGCTGACTTGTCGACTCAAGCTGGAATCCAAGCTTTCCGTACTGCAAGGAGTGGTGAGGAAGAGGTGGAAAGGATTGCCTATGAAGTTCAAAACATGGTACGATCAGCTCTTTTGATGGAAGAAAAACACTCAGCGTTGTGGGAACTGAGTGAGATGTGTAAGTTAATATAAATCCAATGCACTTCTTGTTTCCCTGCCTGGTGAACTCACTCTTTTTGTTGTTTATTGTTAGCTTGGGTTGATGGCTGTCCAAACGGACTCCGTCCAGTTGAGTTGGTCCTACGCAGTGGGCTCGTGTCAAAGTCTTCATGGGAAATGAGTCAGATGGTTCTCAAATCACTGCATACTCAACTCACCTTGAGGTCTTGCCGTACCTGGATGGTATGGGACCGTCTGCTTCCATCGCTTCTGCAAGACACAGCAAAGTACTCTAGTGAAAGCCTTGAATCAGTCGCCCTATTGATGTCCAAGTGGGATGCGTTGATTAGAAGGTCGGCAAATACATGGGAAACAAAAGTGAACTGCCCTTCACTTCCTGCACAACAACTTGATCCTTTGGAATTGATTGAGCACGATTTGTTGTTTGATTCGTGGCTGTAGCTTTGTACATAAGTCATGCATTTCCGATTTGTTTTGGTATCAATGTGACCAGTCTTGATGTGA